TTTTTTTTTTTTTTTTTTTTTTTTTTTTTTTTTTTTTTTTTTTTTTAGGTTAGAATTTAACTCGTGGAAACCATGCAACGCCCTCTTTGCTCATCTATTTTCCATTGTTGTACTCAACACGGGGGACACACTGATCTGAAAGAACCCCTTTTTCAAAATGATTTTGCAAAATTACCAAAAGGAGAGTTTTTTAACTGAAAATTTATACAAAAAGCAGTTTTTCGAATTCCATTCTTTTTTTTAATGGAAATCTCAAATTCCTTTTGTCGGAGAATTTTTACTTTTCTCATCTCGCATCTCACAGTATTGCATGTCAACAAAGCGCAATAAAATTCGTAAAACGAACAAGCTACAAAAACAATTTTCATTTTGTTAAAAAATCGGTGTGATCGAACTTTATGCTCGAAGATCAAGCTTGCAGTGTATTTTCATTAAAAATCATCAAAAAAAAAAACTTTTCTCTTTCACGCATAACGTGATTCATTGTACATTTTTAATCCTTCCTATCATATGGAATTCGAGAACGTCCCAAAAAAAATCGAACTTCAGCTTACATAGTAGTTAAATACATCTTTGCATAAACTGTTCCTCATCGTATCGTTCGTTTTGAGACATTTCGAATTCGGAATAAAACTGAAGATCTACGGAGATCTTCAACACAATTTTTCGTAAGATTCTTTCTATTCGAAATTTTGGATAAGTGCAAAAATTCTGCCGGCTTTCTTTTACCTTTCTTTATTTAAAGAATCAATATGGCGATAGGTATTAATGTTTTGTTCTCAAACAACATTCAACAATTTTTTTTTTTCTCATTTTTCAGAAACGTGCTCTCTCTATTTTCGTTCAAATTTTTGTTTTAAATTATTTTCATATTCATGCAATTATAATTTTTTTTTTTATAAAAGTTTTATTATTGTTCTTATGTATTTTGAAAGGATTGTTGAATAAAGACCGACTGAATTTTTGCACTTACCTAACAGCTTTATTCGCGCAGCACAACTTAGCAGCCTTGAGTTTCCAGTGGTTTTCAGCCATTCTTTCTCGGTTCATTGCTTATATGGAGCACTTTTGATATTCACTATTGCTTAAGAGGTGGAAGTTAATTTTTAAATTAACTTCGCGATATTCACTTCATGCTTTCACAAATATTAACAAAATTTTTTAATTTTAAATCAAAATTAAATTATCCACGGAGAATTTGAATAATTCTTCGTGACAGTTTTAAAGAATTTCCAGAGAAATTAAAAAAATTGCACAATATCTTTGTTGTCAACCTTAAAAAAAAAAAAATAAAAAATAAAAAAAAAAATAAAAGCACCATAAAAAATTAACACAATATAAAATTAATCAAATTTTATAAATTTTGAATAAATTCTCGAATTATTAAATATGTTCTGACATTTGGGATACCAACTAACCTGAAAAAGGAGTCAGCCCCCTGGAACATAAACTGGCAAGAACAGTCTTCGTCCTTTCTTCAATATATTTCTCGCATTATTTCTTCGCAAAAAATACACATCGATTTAAAAGACAGATACATTATCTCGTATAGCTTTTCTCGTCCAGTTTTGTTGTTGCCCTCTGTCGTTTAATCTTGCAACTATGCATTCGGATTCATTTTTCTCATTACCTCTCACTCCCTCTCATTCTCTCGCTTGCTATTCACTTAACTATCTCTCATATGTCTTCATTTTCATCGTGCAACACTGTATTATTTATATGTTTAAAGACTTCATCGACATCATCATCATCATCATCATCATCATCATTTAGCAATCGTTAAAATTATTGTACATTATTTAATTAGTAATTGTTAGAATATAATATTGTTGATGTACATGTGGCTCCACCAAATTCATTGCGGAGAACGCATAAATTACTAGACACGCGTGAATATAAGGGAATCCCATTTAGTCGAGAATACCCGAATTCGTTTCTTTTTTTTTTTTTTCTTTTTAAAATTCATTCTTCTTTCGTAGAATTTTTTTATTTCAGTTAATTTTTCTCGATGATTTTTTTTTTAAATGATTTATTATTTTTAATTTTTCTTTTCTAATTTCTTTCCCTTAGAATTTCAGATATATCTTGGGCATAAAATATTTCAGGTATTCGAAAAAGGCTTCTTGGAGCCACAGTCGACGTAGCTTCATTTACTTTTACAACTTTGAATTACCAATTCGGGGATTTTCAACCGAAAAACGATGAAATTACAAAATAATTTCAATCCTAAATTCTTACGAATTCTTTCGAATTTTATAAATTTATATAAATTCGAAATTTCTCAATTTTATATTTCTCCGTTATAACATTTACAAAGAAAGGATTTTGTAATTCCATCGGTTGCTCGTAATATTCCTAGTAAGTTTAATCCTAATGTTGTTTATATCTGATTTGCAATTTTCAAGATCAAATCGACTGAGACAATTTTCGCGCGTGCCTATCGAATATCTACGTCATGTAACTTCTATTAAACGCATACGGGCGTAATAAGTCGAACTGCATCGCCGCATTGCCAATTAGCAAAAAAATCTCTTTGCACTTGCGCGACGAAATTTTTTTATTTTCCATCATTTTTCAGTTTCTTTTTTTTTATTTTCTATTTTCTCTCTCCCACATTCTAAGCGGAGTGCACACCGAGTCCCTTTCTTTCCTTTTCATACAGATTCAGTCTCTCTCTCTTACACACACGCGCATACACGCACCTACACTCATTCATGCACAGTTCGAACAGAATCACTAATTGTTGTACATACAAAGTATCGCTTGCCATCATCATTTAATTTCGCGCGCGCGCGCGCGCGCGTTTATGTTGTATACACACGTGTGAAATTAGTGTTGGGAATCGTAACGCGACCATATCTGCCTTGAAAATTTTATTTTTCTCACTTTTCCTCTTCTCTTTTCAATTCCTTTTCTTTTCCCTTCCTTTTTTCTTTTTTTTTTTTTTCTATTACGAAGGAACAAATTCGTAACTCGATAAAAATTTGACTACTAAAATTTATAATAAAAAAGGTGTACTGTATATTTACACAGTACACGAGTATCGTTAATTTTGCAACATCGTTCTCGAATTTCCACGAGTAACGCGAAAAAATTGCAACTACGCGAAAAATTTTGCGATAAAAGTTCTACACGAACAGACTGTGTCGACCTCGAAAAATTTTCAAGGACACTCGTATAAATATTTTTTTATATACATACATTTTTTTCTTTTTTTTGTTCAAGTGTCTCTTTTAAAAAAAATTCCTACAGCCAAAAACACGAAAATTTTGACGGAGGTCGACGATCAGACGATTCGAAGCGTTTGAAAGTTCGCGCGCAAATCGTTCGAACGTTTGGCGGGAACGTTTCAAATGTCACAAAAATGAGGAACAACGCCGCGAGAAAATTTTTTCTTTTAACAAATACATTCCTAAAAAAGAATTTCGAAATAGAATCGAATTCAACAAATCTAACCTACTAGAATCACAAATGTTACCGCAGATTCTATTTCTGCAAATTCGATTATTAATTTAATTTTTTTTTTTATATCAATTTCGATTCATCGATAAATACCCGATGTCCATCGTTGTCAAAACGAATCCCAGAGCCACGAGGATCATCCGTCACTGACTTCACGATCAATCGTGATAACGTCTTAAATTAACATTCTTAAAAAACAACTTTCACAAAGGCGATTTGATTCCCATCACTGTACACAAAATACCACGTAAATGTATGTGTATGCTCGTGTCTATGTGTATGTATGTATGTAAGCATGTCTGTGTGTATCAGTGTGCAACCTAGCGAATATATAATATATTGTATATATATAAAACGTTCCAAATAGAAATAATATTTTACCAATTATCAATCGAATGCGGAGCAAAAAAACTCCAGTCAAGTTTGTTTCACGATTTTTTTTTCGTTATTATGC